CAAACTCCAGTTTGAAAAAGATTGAATAGTAGCGAATTCACTCACCTATGGTGCTGGTTTGATTTGGGATGCTTGTGATAGATTTGGCAGCATGAGGTGTTCCTAAGCGTAGTCATGCTTCTTCAAAAAACGGGTTATTGTAGTATGCTGAAGTTTTTTTTTCGGCAGGGACAAGTGTCTTTCAAAATTCAAAGCATCTTTTCACGGTATAACCTTTGTACTTGAGAATTTGTTGTTGAGGGTCCTCTGCCGATTGCATACGATCGCTTGGGAAAAAGCGCTGAGGAGACGAAAGCCTATGCGAAGGCATTGCGCTACAAGGAGCTTCAGATTCACAAGCATCTCAACAAAGGCGGAGGAAGATTAACGACGGAAGATTGTCAAGCGCTCATCACGTGAGTTATCAAAGTCTTGTATTTTTCCGCTCGGAAAAGGCTTATTCCGAGTGAGTTTATCGCTCTTAGGGTGACTAGCCATTTTTGAAGGTACGCAAATAAGTTGAACGTACAAGAAGAAGCCGCTGGTGTTGTGCGATATGCTGAACAACATGAAATGGTCATTCCGGTGAGTGTGGTTGTAGACTGATATGCCCTCATTTTTTTCTGCCTGTCGTTATAAGTTCGATTATTTTGTTTTATTTGATTTTGAAATTTTACACTTCCTGGTTTCAGATGCTTGGACGATGGTACGAGAAGTTGAACGAGTGGAGAAAGCTCTCGAAGCATATGGGAACGTTATACGATGATCTTCTTCTTCTTCTTCTTCTTATTCTTTAGCGTCTGTCCCGCTTGTAGGCGGGGTCCGCTTTTCTTATATGTTGACGCCACTTTTCCCGATTAAATGCTTGATCGGGGTGGATATTAACCGACTTCAAGTCTACGTGCAACGTGTCGAGCCATCGCTGCTTCGGGCGCCCCCTAGGCCGCTTTCCGGGCACGTCAAGGTTGAGACCGATCTTACAGACACTGTCATCTTTCGCGCGAAGGACATGACCATACCATCGAAGACGGGCTTCGCGCATCTTGTCGACAATTGGAGCCACCCCGAATCGCTCTCTGATGACGTCGTTTCGAATGTGGTCTACTCGTGTGATTCCGGCTGTCCAGCGCAGCATCTTGGTCTCCATCACACTGAGCCGTGCTTCGATCTCTTTAGTCGTAGGCCAGCACTCAGCACCGTAAATCGCGACCGGCCGGATGACGGTCCTATAGATCTTAGATTTGAGACGTTCTGGCATGTTTTTATCGCAGAGAACGCCAGTCATCGAGCGCCATTTCGACCAGGCTGCATTCACGCGAGAATTCGTTTCGAAGACCAGGCTGCCGTCAGACGCGATTGCTGATCCAAGATACTTGAATGATGTTGCACGAGTGAGTTCAGTACCATTGATCTTAATAGAGCCTAACTCACTCGGATCGGTGGTCAAGTACTCAGTCTTTTTTACGTTCAGCTTGAGCCCGAACATAGCTAGACGGTCGGACCAGGCTTGTACCTGTTGCTCGAGCGTGCTTTTATCTTCGCTAGCGAGCATCACGTCATCAGCATAAAGAAGTGTCCATGGAGCCGGCTTCTGGAGATCTCTCGTAATGGCATCCATGACGACAACAAATAGGAGTGGGGATAACGCAGAGCCTTGATGTACCCCGACAGAGATGGGAAAATCCATCGATGTTCCTGCTGCCGTTTGCACTCGGCTCTTTGGACTCGAGTAAAGGATGCGCACCCACTCGACGAGCTCTTCAGGCACGCCATGCTGTCGTAAGGCATACCATATAACGTCCGCGGAACGCGGTCGAATGCCTTCTCCAAATCTAGGAAGGCAAGGTGCACCGGTCTTGTTTCTCGCGATGCTTTTCTAGCAGAAGGCGAGCGGCGTGTATGGCATCGATAGTGCTGCAACTAGCCACAAAACCACACTGGTTGGTGGTCAGCTCGACGATGTCCCGGATACGGCTATCTACAACTCGCTCAAAGATTTTCATGCTGTGCGAAAGCAGGCGAATTGGACGATAGCTAGTGCAGTCTCCTGGACTGCCCTTCTTCTTCCAGATAGGAATCGTCGTGCTTTGTTGCCAGCTTTCAGGCACCTTCTTCTCTGCAACGATCTGGTTGAAGAACTCCGTCAACCATTCTGCAGGATTCCAGCATTTGATTTCCACAAGTCCGCCGCTAAGTCGTCAGGACCAGTTGCTTTGCCTGATTTCATCTTCTTCATGGCCGTGATGGTCTCCTCCATGGTTATCTTCTGAACGGGACCGTGTACTGGCGGAGCGCAGGGGATGGCGGGATGAGTAAATTCGACTGTTGAGATGTTTTCGAAGTAGTCACGCCATCGTTTCAGTGTTTTCTTGCGGTCCGTCAAGAGGTGGCCATTCTCGTCATTTATGCCGAAGAACTTTTCTATATCCTCGGTCTGGCGATGGCGGGTCTTTGCAAGTCGGTAAACGTACCGCTCTCCATCGCGCGACTCGAGTTTCGTACTGATATCAGCAAAATGAGCTGCTTTCGCAGAAGCAACGGCCTTCTTTGCCTCTTTCTTCGCTATCTGATAGCTCCGCCAGTTCTCAGATGTCTTTTCGTGAAGGAATGCGTGGTACCGCTTCTTCTTTTCGCGCACTTTCTCTCTGACCTGGTCCGTCCACAGCCACGTTTGCTTGTCAATTCTCCGCCGTCCAGGCTTCGTCATCCCGAGCTCGGATCGAGCTATCCTGAGTTATTTCTTCGGCAGCACCTTTCCAGGTTTCGTCGACAGTCGTTACCGCTGGTAAACGAATGCGGGAAACGACGGCCGCTTCTTTTTCCTTCAGTCGCCACCACTTAATTCTCGCTGGCCGCACCTTTCGGTTAGTTTCGCTTTCGGCGGGGCGACCTTTAGCGTACAAATTAGTGGTCGGTGTTGCGTGGCGACCGTTTCATAAGGCACTGTTTTCGCGTCTGTTACGAGCCCTTGGTCGCGGCGCCTGACAAGTACGAAATCAATTTGTGTTCTGGTGTTACCGCTATAGAAGGTGATGAGATGTGAGTCGCGTTTTCGGAATTTCGTGTTCACAATGGCGAGGTTGTGCGAGTCTGCATACTCGAGAATTCGCTCGCCATCAGTGTTACGTGACCCATATCCAAAACCACCGTGACAGCTGTAACCGTCTTTCGTAGCGCCAACGTGCCCATTGAGGTCACCTGCGACAATTATAGCTTCTTGTGACGGTACCTCAGCTGTCTTCTCATCAAGCAGGTTCCAGAACTTGTCTTTGCTTGCTCGGAGCATCCAGTCTGCGGAGCGTACGCAGAGAAGAAGTGGTATTTTCGTTGTTCGATGACGACAATGATTTTCATTAACGGTCGTCGAAGCGCTCCACGTTTACTATCGAATCACGAAAGCGTTCAGAGACAATCATCCCGACGCCATTGGTGGTTTTGGGACCGCCACAGAGAACGGCTTTGAAGCCGCGGCCAATGTCCCTCGACTTGCAGCAGGACCACCTCGTTTCCTGCACGGCACAGAAGTCTATTCGTCGGCGCTCTAGCGCTTCTGCCAGCTCGCTGGAGCGGCCCGTCAACGTGCCAACATTTAATGTTGCAACGCGGGTCTTCGATACGTTGCATGGCTTTGGACTAGCCTAGTTGCCCCCCGATGCCGTCCTTGCACCGGAGACCCTCGCATACTTTTCACACTCGCCGGGCTTTGCGAGTGCGCGTCGGCTCCCGCGGACGCCGTAGCATTATCTCGAAATTCATATGGCGACATTGACATTTGTGATGTGACGTGGGTGTTCGTAGGCCGGCCTGTCACGAGGGCCTGTCACCTGCATTCGAATGTCCGTGTTCAGCTCAGCCCACAAAGTGGGCAGTTCCCAGTGGCACCACTTTGAGGAACGGACATCGCCACCAAATTGTACTTACCATGATTATGAATTGATATTGATCGAAAGCGTTTAGATGGCTCCAAGTGCCACATGTCGAAGAAATTGCATAGAGCCACTTCCGGTAGAGATGAATCACCCGCACATCGCTCAACTCATCGCTCATCAGCTTCGTCTCACAAAGACTCGACGCAATAAGCTGGCACTACGGACATCGACGCGGTAGTCTCGCAAGGCCACACACACTTGCAACTTACGGTTGATCCTTCGAATATACTGTATACAAATTAATTACAATGTGCGTAATAACGGTGCCAGACTATCAGTGAGTATTTGTAATGACAACAAACTGGGTTTCCTGACGCAACCAACATTATTTGGCCTACTGCCCTTAATGTAAAGTTATTCGATTGTTCTCGATCCTTATAATTACTGATATTGACTCAACATAAAGTAAAATTAAGGAAGGAGTGTGCTTCCGCCTTGACCCGCCCTTTGGCGTTATCACAGCTTTACCTTTGCTAGCCCTTTTTCTTCTCACGCGCTGTCAAACTCCGTATTTGACAGCCAAATGTGCGCTGCAGCACAACTTTACGATCTCAGATCAACCGTGATGTCTATTTCCCCTATGATGGTGATTCGATTCGACGATTCTCGCAAAATGGATTAAACCAAGTACACTCTGTTTCATGCAGCCAGAAATCCACGTGGCACACGTGGCTAAATTCTCGATGAAAAGGTGACGTCACGTGTGCTCAAAGATGTTCTTCGATGCCACGTCAATTTCTGCAATTGCACAATTTCTGGTCATTTGAAGGCGAGGGTATGCTATCCAGAAAACCTTACCAATCACGCCTGTTCTTTGGGATTTTTGCAAGTCACTCACCCTTTCAGAATGATCCATGAATTCAGCCAAGTTCAGAATAGTCTGGATAACATCTGGATGATTACTGGTCTCCAGTGCCTATGAAAATCGATTCGTGAGTTCAAGGTAGCCGAAATCATCAGATATTTTGGAACCAATAACCTACTGTCAGTAAGGATCCAGTAAGCTTGTCCTGTAACTCCTCGGTCAGCTCTGTCCACACAGACATGAAAGCGGCATTGAAGAGATCCCTAGATTGTAGCTTATAGGCTTGCATGGAAGGAAGAATAGATTTCAATAGCACCAAGAATGTCTCTTGGTTGAACTGTTATAAAAAATTCTGGCGAAAGGAGTCTAAAGATCTAAAGATAGATGGTCAACAGACTGTTTTTGGCAACGGAATCTTGTGCGCATTAAAGAGAGCCCTGGTGGTAGGGCCGACTACCCGGTTACGATGCTCTTGCTGCAACTCTCGCCAACCCCATTACCTCAAACATCGCAGACTGCGGATCCACCTTCGTCACCAAAATCTGCTGT